GATCACACAGAGGGCCAAGGGGGTTCTCTGAGAACCGGACCACGCTACGCACCGTGAACCCAGTGACGTGCCTCACCGCCCGCGACCCCACGCGCAAACGTGGAAACACTGCAGGAAAATCAGTCACCCTGAGAGCACCCTCACCACTCCAGATCCAGCAATCCCAAGGACCGAGATTTAGGGATTTGAGGTCAGCTCACTGTAAGGCCACATGGACTCTCCAACGTCTGCATTACAATTCTGCATTTAACGAATGAAAAACTCTCCAGACAACAACAATCTCCGCTTTCTAAGCCTGACCCCGTGCTCTACAGCTAAAAGCACCACAAATACTATTGAAAAAGAAGCAGCAGATAGCAATCCCAGAAGGATTTGTAATCAAAATATACTTTTAATGACCCCACTAAGTTCATCCATAACTTGATGGCCATTTCATTGGCACGAGGAATGCTGAGCACCCCAGTGCCATGGCAGACACAAAGAAAAGACCTTCCAGAACCCACTCCGGCATCACAATTCCCTGTTGCCAGCTCAACAGCATCGGCAGCATTTAAGGATATGTATCAGTTGCTTAATCTTAATATATGTGAATTTATCTACTAGGGTTAGTAACAGAAAGGGAGACTGCAAATGCTTACACTTAATATTGTAAGAACATGCAAAGCTTAAATACAACGCTCTTGCTCAGGGAAAAAAATCCAGACTATGGCAAAAGGAATCATTCCTGAGAGGACACTGCAACATCTGCTGCTTCCTAGGATGGCAAAAGTATGTAAATCACCACCGGTATTTTAAAATTATATTTATTTATAGATTTGTATCATGTACCCATCGCTCAGCACCTGGGTACACATACACATATTAAAATAATATACATGATTTGTCTGCAAATTGTAATTTAAGTACATTCTTATTCCTGGGATACAGATCTTTATAAATCCCTACTGTTCCCCAAGCAAAGGCCTGAGTAAATAGATCCCAGCAGTGACTGGAGACGAAGGCCAGAGAGGGGCATCGCACAGTGACGGCGCGGGGGGACGCGACGCGCAACCGGTTTGGGCCGAAAGAGGAGTGGTTTGGATGCTGGAAACTCACGGCATTTTAAAGACACTTGGATTAGCCTTAAAAATCATCTCCTTCATATAGATTAGCAATAATACTTACAACATTTGCCTCGCACCTTTTTTCCTAGCAAACGGTAAAGGCTCTGACACGGGGGGTTTGCGCGAGTCTTCCGTCTGGCGCGTTTAAGCACGGGGGCTCCCTGCTCCGTGCCGGGAGGGCGCGGAACGCCCCAGTGGGGTGAGCAGGCGTGGGCCTGCGCGGGGTCTCACGTCACTGGGCTGCGCCTTCCGCCGGGACACGGCAACAAGGTGAAGGTCACCGAAACCAGCAGTGGCCGAGGAAGGAAAGATCAAAAAGAGAGCAATTATTTCGAAAAACGCTTTTGAAATGACATGGCACATACATACAGTCGCGTGTGGCGTGTCCGTGTTCCTGCAGTTAACCAAGTGAATACGCACATGTAAAATCCACCCAAGCAGCACATATTTTTCGAGGCCCTTCTCCCGCAGACCTCTTTTCACCCAAGTAATGCTACTGAAGTCAATGGAAATGCTCTTGTAAACAAGGACTTACAAGAACCCAACGTGACAATGATTTCAAAAGGAGTTTTGACTGTGCAATTGTTGCTGGATTAGGGTCTTCAGAAACACCGAGCTCGCTCTGAAGAGCCCAGAATTCAAATCTGCAAAGTGCTGGGGCCTCCAGAGCGGATCCCGGGAAGCACTGAAGGACACGCTCAGCCTTAAGCCTGGGAACGGCTCCCGGGCTCCCCCCCGAAGACGGGCCAAACCCCTGCGGAAGGGATGGGAGCTTCAAAAAATACAGCCTCTCCTCCCTCCCTTTTATAAGCCACTGACCTAAACTGAACCGTATCACATCGCTGTCTAAATTAACAGGGAATAAACTTGTACAAATACCTCGTTACCAAAAAAAAAAAAAAAAGGAAAGAAAAAACAACCAAAAAGCCCCACTCGCAAGACAAATTTTCTACAAAATAAGCCTATTCTGTGAAATTTTCATTTAAAATAATTGATTCAACCATAAACCAACAGCATAGACCAGAAGCGCGAGCAGCAGCATTTATCAATAGCACTTGCCCAGATAAGTAAAAGTTTGTAATAAATAGATCACCCGTTACTGTGCTGATATAAATGCAAAACAGAGCAACAAAACAGAGCAACAATACAAAAGACAAATAAATGAGTTAGACACGGAGTCCATGAGTTTAAGAAGTCTCCCCTGTATTTAATAAAGCATGATATTTTTTTTAGAAACACTAACAGATCCCTTGCAGATAGTTTTTTATCTTTATATTATTATATAAGACATTTTGTGTTTAAAGTGAACTATTGCTTCATCTAGGCGGCCCCTCTGCTGGGCATAGAAACTAGATTGTGAACAAAATTTAAAAAAATCACCATTGGAAATTACAAATCATACAACTTTAAAGCATTTTGATATCCCCCCCCCGCCCTTAGTCCAAAGAGATAAATAATTGAATCGCTGGGAATGTAGAAGTCTGCGTTTTAGCGTAAATTTCTGTGTCTACGTAAAATAAAAAAGAAGCCAGCCAGAATCACGATTAGCTGAGAGATGAAGGAAAATATGCAATTATCGTTCATCCCGGTCTATTAGCTCAGCAGGTGGAAAACATTGAAACCAGTGACTGCTCAGAACCGGACCTAATTCTTTGCTTCTAACACAGGTCAAAGTCCTCTCGGAATCTGTGAGACTTTTGCTTTTGAAGAACTGAGTATTTTGGGATTCTGCAATAATTTATAATTAAAACATTAAATCTGTCGTTTCACACGGTTCCAGAGGGGTTTTTTTGTTTCATTTTTCTCCAAGAAAATGAGTATGTATCTAGTGCAAAGCAAAATATTCTCCCCCGCTGCCCTTCAGAGAACTTCACATATACCAAACGCTATTAAACAATTGACTTTGCATCAGCTCTATGAAAGGATTAAAATTACTTTCACAACATTGAGGTTATGCTGTGTTCAAAACCATCCCCTTAGAAAAAAAAAAAAATTACCTTTGGAGAATAAATTTAACTAAAACCAGACCAATTAAAAACTGCACCTTTGCAAGCTTTTTACGTTTACAGTACATTTTTGTTTATGCATAAAATAAGCATTGTTGAATATGTTTTCTCCTAGCACAGACCAAGAACAGGTTAATATATTTAACAATTTGATTGGTTTCCAATTTGAAATTTAACGTACAGCATCAGGTATTATTTGTGCTTCAACAACTGAGCCTGCAGATGGAAGGAAAGGCTGGAGCTGCCACTGACTGCTATCTGCATCGACACCAGGGCTTCGACTTCTACCACAGCAAAAGAGCTATACAGGATTATCAGCAGAGTAGATCATTCTTTCTCAGGGCTATTTTACTCAAGAGAATCCATTTAAAACTGCTTAAAACATCAAATGAAACACAAGTTATCTAAACATCAGATTTTCTAATTTTATTAAAAACGCACAAATTTTATCCAACATGTTTTCTTTCATACAGTGAATGGTCTAATATGCACTGGAGGTCACACAAGCTTAGGTTTATTAGAACAATAAAAGACATATGAGAAATTTAATATATAAAGAAAAAAGTAGCAGCTGTTGACTGCATATTTGACCATAAAATTTAAATATTTTGGACTTTATTTTAAAGACACAAAAATAAAACCTGTGTGGGTCTATATTAGTCATATTAACAATTCCATGAATGTTCAACAGGACTAAAAATTAGCAAAGATGTTTTTTTGTTTTTTGTTTTTTTGTTTTTTTGTTTTTTTTAGCCTTGTAACACTTTTTAAACACCTTCTCGGGTTGCTGGTGCGAAGCACCTTACAGTATTTGTGCTATATATTTACTTTATTTGGCAACTGTCTGGGTTTCGTGGGGTTTTTTTTCTTTGCCTTCTGTAAACAACACCTTTTACAAACTAGCACAGTGAACCACAAGCCCTGCAATCTGTTATAACATCTACAGAAAAGAAAATGAACTATTTTGGTTGGTTGCTCAAAATATTTTGCTTTTGAACAAGAGGTTCTAAAACAGGATTTATTAGTAAAACATTGAACTCCTGAATTTAACATTAGACGTAAACAGTTGACTGTTTTTAGTTCAATAGAGTCTTTTTGTTTAGCTTTTCTCTCTCTGTGAAGGTAGAATACTTTTTGTTTGTTTGTCTGTTTTCAAGTCATTTTCGTTAGAGGTCTGGGTGGTGACCTTTGCTATGATGAGGAGGTTTTGTACGTGTAGCTTTGTGAAGGTAGAAGAGTTGGTGCTGAGGGCTTAACATTTAGTATTTGCTATTTTGGAAAACAAAACAAAAACAGAGGAAAAAGAAAGTTGTCCCACCTGATAGTCAGCAGGCTGAAATGGCTGAAGCTAAAAAGAGTTTCTTGCTGTCGAACTTTCTGAGAGACAAAAATTAACAAACAAATTCATAATGCCAGAACCATCCTTAACCGGGAACGCTAGAGTTCTTGAAGCTTTTTTTCCCCCTTTTCTTTGACCTTTCCTTCATTCAATTATTAATTTTTTAAATGAGAAGTTTCTAAGGATTGTGGCTCTTAGGATGACATCCAACAGGGTAATCAAACTTACGCCATCCTACGGTATGGCAGCACTTTACTGTACAGCTTCACCAGTTTCTTTGTCAATGGTACAAAAAAAGTCCCCTTGCTTGTTTGATACAACCATAACATGGAGATTGTCCTGGTCTAGAGCAAAGCTTGCCTTGGAGCGATTTGCATTCAGTTCGTTCCCAAGGTAATATTGTCTTAGGGCAGGAGAGATGTTATATTTATTCATTTCTGTACACCGTAACAATAAGCAGACTAGATGATCATCACTTACTTAGACCCAGTTTGTTTTAAAGCTACCACACAGCCGCTTCATTCATTTCTGGTGGATGTGACAAGTGATTGCCATAGTTAGCACCACCGTTGACGGATATCGAAGAAAATGGAGGACTGGGGCCAAAAACTTCTGCGGACATGGAGTGCAAGGACCCAGGCAGGTTGGGTTCGGGGCTGGGTGAGTCTCCTGGGGGGTGCGACATGATGTCAGTGAAGCGCTGAGCCTCACTGGAGGGGTGATGTCCGGGCAGGGGGTGGTCCATGGCCCCCAGCGGGGTGCCTGATGGCCCCGAGGAGGGCACGAAGGGGAGATCCACGGGGGTCTGAGCTTGAGACGAAGGAGGTCCTTGCGGGAAGAAATCGTAATTGCTTCCAGGGCCGTAATACTCGCTCTGATAATCTGGTGGAGAAGGAGAGAACAGCGGGAGGGTAACACGCAGGCGGAGGAACCGTGCGGAAAAGACACGAGGATGCGCTTTGTGGCAGTGCTGCCGCTGGCCCCCAAATGTCACCCGGGGCTCGCCGAACCCAGCGGGGAAACGAGCTGACGGACTCCGTCCGGTCCTCGGGGACTCCCCGCCTTCAGCAGAGCCCCCCCCCCCCCCCCCCCCCCCCCCCCCCCCCCCCCCCCCCCCCCCCCCCCCCCCCCCCCCCCCCCCCCCCCCCCCCCCCC